GTCTTGAATGCCAGTAAGTGGGGGGGTGAGTTTTAAGTTTTTGTGGCTGATGTGGTGGGAGGGATGGGCTGTCCGTGATAATGGGATCTAAGAGCTCACATGTTCGTTGAGGCCACATCATACATTACTTTGCAAATAGGTGTGGTCACTAGATTCCTGTAAAGGCAGGAATGTATTTGCTCTCTGTACAAAAACATCAGCATAAAATAAAGAAGTTTATATTGTCATCCAAGCAGTGAAATGGCACGTAGCCTACCCAGACAGTTTAAACACGACAAGAGGGACAACTTCAGTCACACTTTTAGATATTTCAATTTCATAAATGAAATATCAAGTGAATCCCACATTAGAGAGATTCTAAAACCATATTCTCAGTTATAATGAAAGAATAATGAAATTAGTAATTAAAAAATCAATAATACATAAATTTGTCTTATTTAGGCCCAAACAAACATTCAGGGAAAATAGTGGATGGACAGTTGTGCAACAGAAACCTATAAATACACTGCAAAATGGGTATAAGAAATTAAAGGTAACTACTGAAGAAGCTTCCCGCAACCAACTAAACAAAAGTTAGTGGATAAAACAAACTGTGGTAGAAAAAAGTGCATAAGCATAGAGTTGGTGGATTGTGAAGCAAAGCAAATTCAGGAGTTCAGGGTAGGTTTTCAAGCATTGGCTACAACTTTGAATACTCAAGCACCAAAGTATGCTGTTGTGTGCTTGGTTTGTGTGTACCTAGCAAGTAAAGTTACTTCCAAGATAGCAGGGATTTACTGCAGTACTTCTCCAGTTGGAACACAGCACATTTGATGCTCATCTATGCCCACTTAAAATAGGAGAAAAAAACAAAACAAAAAACATTGCTCTCTTTAAGTGAGAGCATTTGCTGATAAATTACTTTTTGTCCGAAGAAATAATGGTGGGCAATTCACAGCTATACAAGTCGTAGCTTATCTCTAATTTACTTTTTATTTCTTTAAAGAAAGGGAAGTTTAAATCAACATATATATATATATTTTTTTTTGCTAACTTGTATCTGGCCAAAATGTGTTGCTGTACAATTGCAAACCTCCACCAAGCATCAAATTTTGCCCCATATTGTGACTTACACCTATAGCTAAAACTCACACATGATCTGAATCATTACCAGATGAAAATGAATTGTTCCTTTGCATATAAGGTGAACCTGCGGTAAAATTTTACTTAAAATCATTTCATAAGTTTGTAAGTGTAAGTGGTCAGCTCTCAGGGACAAATTGAACGCACTCATCATACACACACTATACATGTCTCAAAATATCAGATTGACTTCATGTGACTATGCCTCCGATGTGACCCCTCTGCTGAAATGTCTGTCTTGTGTTACATGTGCTTTTCTTGTGCAGAAAACTTTATCCTCTCAAGCATAAAGTGTGAAATATGCTTTTTCCCCCCCTCTCTACCCCAATGTGGCTCCTATCTTTCCACAGAGATAAAGGCAGTGCAATAGGTAACCGCCTGGGACCTGGTAAGCCAGGTAACCGGTGGGAACCTGGCAAGCCATAAGAATGAGCCGTTCTGCCACATGGCAGCGTTCTGCGGCATGTATGGTCTCAATAAATCCATTTCCCCCCTCTCAGCCCCCGCACCCAAATGTATGTGACGTATTGTGATGAACAGTTGTACTGAAACTGAAATTTCGATTGCAATGTAAATTGTAGTTGACAATAAAGAAGTTTGATTGATTGATTGATTGATATTGATAAAGTTTATGAATAAGGCTCAACCTATGTCTGCAGCCTCTGGTGTTTGTTCTGCTCTCACCTTCTTCATTCACTCTGCTTTCTGCTTTTATCAGCAGATCAAGGCTTTGAGCAAGGCATGGCTCACCTTTCCTGTGTTTTTGTCTTCAGTTTATTATTTCTGGACTCCTTTGAGTCCGATGCTGTTAATAATCACTGCTGCCACCCTCTGGTTGGAGGGGAACTGCTTGTTCCACAAACCTATGTTAAACAATCCTTTAAAAAAAAATCCTGCATCCCGATTATGCTGTGGATCATCACCAGAATTTAGATTGTTGTGTAGACCGAGGAGGACCTTTTTTAAAAATGTAATTAAAATCCCTTCATAACTTTTCAAGTTATCCTGTGCAGCGCAGACAAACAAACAAACTCTCCTAAAAACTTAAACTCCTTGGCAGAGGTAATTAGAATAAAGGAAAATGAATGTATTCTATTTGACCACTAAGGGGAAATTTATCTAACTATTCTAAATGTGAGGATAAATAGCAAAACAAAAATGAGATGAAGACAAATGAATGAAATTGTTGCATGAGTAAGAAACAATAGTGACAGAGTTTATAGGACACTTGCATTAATTTAAAAATGTGAAAAGATTTCCATAGAAAATTAATACATTTTAAATTCTGCTACGTACAGTTATCAATCAGATACGCTAAAACTGGTGTCGTC